TTAGATGGTGGATTTGGGGTTTTCATGAGGTGTACTCATCACAATTACAACTCATCGCCATAATCATCGCAATTATGACAAATCACGGCTTGAACTATCTGGCTTTGCATGTAATGAGTCTTATCTCATATATTAGTTTCACCTTTTAAGTTGCATTACTGAAATAAATGAACTTTTGCACGATATTCTAATTTTTCGAGTTTCACCTGTACTATCATGCAACAAAAAAAGACATGAATATTATTTATAAAATCAGCGTGAATTTGTGTGGACAGTTCATAGTATGTTTACCTATATTTTGTTGTCTATTACTCTACATCATCATATTGTTACAAGAATGTAAACAGCTTTTGTTTTCTGGTTTGGCTTTGTAAGTGGATAGAATCCCAGTGTGTTTTGATCACCATCTGCAAAGCTAGAAAGTAATTTGGCATATATCTATATTTGACCTTATGTGCTGCTTGTACTATTTCTGTAGTTCCAGATTTAAGTATTGTTGTTTCAGGAAAAACTTAAACAATTTGAAGAAAGGTTAGCGGAGGAAAGAGGTAGTCGTTTAGAGGCACGTAAGAGAGAGCGCAAAGAAGAAAGACGCATCACTTACTATCGTGAGAAAGAGGAGGAAGAACAAAGGTTGGAAGAGGAGAAGATGCTTAAAGGTAAATGCTGAAAGGTCCTTCCTAAAATAACACTCTATCCTCATCTTTCTATTTATACAGATCTTATATTTCTTGATAGTAATTTTGCATATTTTTTTGGATAGATGTGTGTCATGGCAGCTACTAGAAGTAGACATTTGTTCGGGGTATCTGGAAAATCAAAATAGAGGTCGGCTTTGCCTTACTACCATTTGTTTGCTGCCTGTTCAAAGTTATAATGGTACTAAAAAAGCAACTTACAACCGGTCCTCATACTTACGACCTTTGCAGAGTTCCTGTAGTGACAATTATCATATGGGTGCTTGGCAACCATTGCAGCAGTGGTCACCATGTCTGTGATCATGTGATTATCATCTGTAAGTCAGATATGCTTAACTCGGTGCCTGCCATTTTTAATCATAGTTAGCCTATTTGTAAGTGTGAGTTTCAACTTACGTATAAATTTGAATTAAAGACAGCTAGAAATGGAACTTGTTCTTTACCTGGGGACTGTCTCTATTTTGCTCAAATGTTCTTACTGAATTGCTTATATTGGGAAATATGTACCGTATTTTCACGCATATAACCCGCGGGTAATGTGCGTTTTTACCTACCCAGCACGCCCCCGCGGGGTATAAAAGTGGGCGGGGTATACGGAAAATATTTTACACGACAGCGACTAACAGATTAACTAATCTGTTATGTACCAGTATAGAAGCGGCGAAGAGATTTCAGATTGCTCTTTGCAGCGTCCTGAGTG